CTGACAACATCAGCATTCAGAGGGTATCATCTGTTCATTAATCAGTTAAATACTGTTGAATAACATTTGATGATGAGAACACAACATCTAGCAATGATGAAATCATTGACATGTTATGAAAATGAATAAAAACGTGATTTTGGAACACAGGCAATTTCTAGGTGTTTTATATCATCACACAACGTTGCCCTGGGGCAACAAATAAAGGGTACAGGGGTCAAAGGTCAAATAAATACAGTAATTGCTGAAATATGATTCACTCTGAATAAGAAAGATGGGACAAAAATGCTTAACAACAAAGTGTGCACAGAACAGGGTTAATTAAAATGAACTAAAATTTACAGTTTTACTGTCAGGATGTCTGCTGTTATTACTTTGAGATGTTGACACGACAGGTCACAGTTTTTCACCTGTTATACTCTTTGTTGTTTGATTATTTTGATCTAGTGGCTTTAAAATATTTAATGTAAAATTTTTTAAAGCCACTAGGTTGGATATAAATAGGATGGATTTTACTGATTTGTTGACATGTTTCTGGGAACACTTCCTGTTTATTTGTTTGTCTGTCTTCTCTGCTAATTACCACTGATTTTTCAGGTCTCCATGAGGTCAGTAATGATGTAATTATGTAAAATGATTGGGAAAGGGGCAGCATTCCTGATAACAGCATGCCACTTATCTACTCTCTTCTTTTTGTTTTTTACATATATGTGTGCACCAGTGTGGCCAGCTTGCCAGGAAGTCTTAAAAGAACACAGCTACTTATCTTTCCAGGATGTATTTTAGACTTTGCTTCCAGTTTGCCTGGCTTGCTTGTTACTGGCTCTGTTAGAAAGTGACGTTTTGACTGCAATAGGGAGGGGGAGGACACACAGACACACAGTCTTGGATCGCTGGGATTTATTTGGGGAAATATAAGTTTCTAGCAGTGATCTCATCATTTTCTAAACAAGCAGCAGAGAAAAAGGAGACGGAGAAAAGGAGGAGCCTAAGGTGAATTATTTAAGAACAGAACCATTGTCCACTGGGGAATCCCTGGGTGTGTGTTGAGCTGGACTTACAAGAGAAAAACAGAGACTGTTAACAGCTGAAAATTTCTTACAGGATATCTTCACCTACTCAGCCATCATGTCTCAAGTAAGACCCCTGTTTGAGTCAAAACAGGATATATTTTCTCATATTGCTGAAAGGAACTGTTGCAGACATGGAGTGACTGAATCTCAGTGTTCTTATGTATCTTCCTTTTACTTGCCCTTCAGCCTGGGCAGGAAGAAGATGCACAAATGCAGCGTCCTGAAGTGAAAGAAAAAGATCTGACTGAAGCAAAGAATAAGCTGGGTACTGACGGGCCACCAAAGAGCAAGACATTTGAAGTAATGGAGGAATGCGGTGAGAACACACACATATTGTACACAATTGCACATGGCCATTGGATTTGACACAGGTTTTACAGATGAAAGTGAAGGGAAACAGTCTTTTGCTGTCTCTCTGATACAGATAAGATCACATTTTGGCAGTGGCTTGGTGTGTGGGGTGTTTCTCATGATCCTCAGGTTTCCACTCCTTATACAGAGAGGGAAGGAGGGTTGTAGTGATGGGAGATTCCTGTCAGTGTTTTTTCTCTGGCCCAATGAGAGATGAAGTGTGTATTTATAGAGTATATCCACAGTCTTACATAACCCTTCTCCCTGCCTCATTACCAGTGAAATGTTCTGATTGTTGTTTCTCTTCCTTCACAGAGAAAATGGGCAAAGCTGCTCCATCTGTCTTCAGTGGAGTGAAGTCAGGAGGAGAGACTGTCTTTAACACACGCTCAGCTCGACCAATCAGAAAATAGTAGGGGACTTCCTGACCATGATTGGACAACTCGTATTCCAGGTTAGCGGTTTGGGAATCGGTTGTTTTCCAGCCGGACACGAGTTCTGCTTAAAGCCCTTTTTAGTGACTTCATGTTCTTTATGAGTCACACCATACTGTTTAGTCACTGCATCTTCTTTGCACTTGTTAAAGCTAAAGAATTCAAATAATTTCTATTAAGTAGTAAATTTAGGTAGTTTTTTTTTTTTTTTTTTACAACAGAGAATATTGTTCATTTAGCTTATTATTACAGCTTGTCACATCTGCATGAACCTACAGTTTAAGAGTGAGTGTGTGATGATAAAAGAACACAAAAGTGGCATGTCCAGTACTTGCCACTACATCTGAACATACAAAAGGTTAGATTGCCATCATTTTATTTACATAAAAAAACAGCTTTCCTTCCATTAAAGAGATGTTCTGCATGGTGTTGTCAGGATTGTGATTGTTTGTCAAAGGTCAAAATTATGGCAAGTAATTATTTTTTGAGATCAAAAAAAAAAAAAAATCAAATAAGCAAATTGTGTCAGCCATCCAACTGTAAGCAGTGCAAGTACTGTAGTAAATGTCAGTAAAAACATTTATCCAAAAATATGAAAAGAGTCCATTTGTGTTTTTCCTTTTTATTCAAAATTATTTTGACAAATAATGAATGAAACTTAATACTTATTAGAACAAAACTTCTACTATACTACACTAAATAAGCCATGGTGCAGACATTTAAAATGGGAAGAAACAAAGCATGGAACAAGAATGAAGATAAAACAAACCATGGAACCGCTGGCTGAGAACACCAGCCCTGCGTTGTTTAAAGAAACGGTAGAACGCCAGTTTTATTTCATGAACTTGTGATGTTGGTCTTGAAGGATTTTGGCAGAGGACTTGGCATCATAGAACAGCTCGTTGATTTCCTCTATCTGCTCTCTCTCAACTGACTCTTTTCCCTGAACACGGCCCAGCAGACTGGCTGGGGTCAGCAGCTGTACAGCATACCTGAAAGGAACCAGGCAGAGTGACTCAGTGTGCTCACACATGCACAGTATACACCAGTTCATGATAGATGGGGGATGATTATAGTGACTCCATGCTCTCTCTGGTGTTTAAAATGCTCAAAACATTTTCTTGGGAAAAACCATGTATGCCTTTACCTGAGGGTGGTCTTGGTGCCAATCTCTGCCAGGTGTGTAAGTGCTTCCTCACTGATATTGATCCCCTCAGTCTGAGCGCGGATCTTGATGATCTACAAACCGCAGCCTTATTAGTGAAGCATGTGCAGATGCCATGTCGTACAGCACTCATGTAGATGCTGTGAATCTCACACTCACCTGCTTCATCTCCTGCGGCGTGTACAACATGGTACGGATTATCATGACTCTGTCCAGCAAGTCCAGAGGAATCCCGTGTGGAGAGCTGATGTCCTCTGTCCCCCTGGTGGACAACAAATGACTGTTAATACTACAACTTTACATCTTATCACAAAACCAAATCTATTTAATCTTCTATTCTATCCATGAAACTAATTATAGAGGCCCCACCTGATTAAACAGTTTCCCCTGTTAGAGGCAAACACAACGATGGGGGCAATGCTACTCTCGAGTGCTCGATGGAGGTAGGTGAAGCATTCGATATCCAGCATGTGCACCTCATCCACAAACAGCACACCAGGCACAAGCTCAGCTACGCCCTGGTCAATGTATCGGTTCACCACCTTGTTGATCTCGGCACGCAGCTTATCTGGAATGGAACAAAGGATAAAGGAACAGTGATGAACAACAAAAGTCGTCTGCCTCTTTTGTTTTGATTAGGGCAGTTATAGCTTTTCCCTACCTGTGATTTCTGTCTTTTTGGGCTTCATCAGTTGTCCCATCATGGAGAGAATGTCCTGGCCTCCCTAACATCAAATAATAAACCATTATTTTAAACAAACAGGGGCTAACTCTGTAATATTTGAACAGTTGCGCTGATATCATCCGAAGTTACAGGACACTCTCTGTTTTGTACCTGGGGTCTGGCGTTTGCGATATCCAGGTCGTGCAGTGTGACATCTTGGACTATCTCTTTCTTTTTGTGAACATCGCCTTTGGGAAGCGGAACATACTCCTCTGCCTCCAGATCAAACTCTGTTGCAAAGGTGTCACAACGACCTTGTCTCTATGCAGACAAAAGTAAAAAAAAAAAAAAAAAAAAAAAAAAAAAAAAAAAAAAAGTTAATCATTTAAAAAAAAACTACCTGCTGTTTGACAGAAATTAATGTCTAAAGTTTCCCCAGACAACAATGAAACAAAGACAGCACGTGGGAGGAGGGAGAGCAGGTGTATGACTGAACCCAGTGCAGAGAGCAGGCCGTGTCTGAGGGATGAAAGGATTTGAGAAGTCATGAGATGTCTGTCAACAGTAACAAATGTGCCGCTCAGCCCTCCTCCTTTGGTCTCCGACTGGATCTAACTCGCACCTTAGGCCCACCTGCACTGATTAAAGGAACCATCGTCGCGGCCTGTCAACACAGGCCACAATCCCCACTGCTGGCAAAGATGCAGTGTAGAAGATTGAGAGATAGAGGGAACATGAAGAACTGCAGGAATGAGAGCTCATTCCAGAGTACAGTTGAAATGCAGCAGAGCTTTTATGCAGTGCCGAGAGAGATGAAAGAATGGCACCATGAAGGACAGAAGAGGTCAGGCAAGACAAACACTCAACCTAGGTCATACCCATTTATTTATGTGAAATATTTCATTTACAAGCTTATGACCTAAACTGGTTGGTGAATTAAAGTGCAGAAACTACTTCATTTCTACACTGTTCAGCTGATCAAAATTTGTGAGTGGTGAGGGAGTAACCCACAAAAGTAACACAATGATACCTTGATAGCTCCACTGTTGGCTTCAATGTAGATGACGTCTCCCACTTCCACACGCTCTTTCTGAAGACTCTCATAAATACTGGGATCCAGCTTCAGAAACAAGACGTGAGATTTTAAGAAACCAGTCTTTACTTTGATCAGTGTTATTATGAAACTGTATACTTGAAATATGAGCACACATGTTAGATGAACAGAGGAAGCAGCAGGTGACAAAAACTTTGTCAGGACACTCATGGAGATGAGATGTTATGAGATCAAATTTTGAATCTACCTTGCAGACATTGATAAGGTGTAAAGAGAACCACAGAAATATTTTAGCAAATGCAAAGTATCTTGACAAGTTAATTTTTGATAGAAATGACATGGTTCCCATCAATACAATGAAAATTATTATTATTATTACACTGTTTATACAAACAACATGGCTCAAAGTGCTTAACAAGTAGCAGTAGGGGAAAAAAAAAAAGTATAGCTCCCAGTCTGACCTTGAGCTGTTTCGTGCCTTTACCCGTCTTCAGGCCGATGATGACGTGGCTGATGGTTTTCCCATAGCCACCCATTGGATTCTCAGTCTCACAGGGGTTCAGCTCTGTCACCTCCCCTTCGTACACTTCCTTTGTCTCTTTGATTCGCAGTCCTGAATGCAAGCAACATTACAGTTGCACACAGAATACAGAGTGAGAACTCAGTGTATTATCTAAGCTACCACATCCCTCAGTCTACTGAACATTTTATTATAGGGAGAGTGTGTGTGTGTGTTTGTGTGTGTGTGCCCCCATCAAATGCCTGGGCATCATTCTGTGTAACCCCCGTCAAATGCCTGGGCATCATTCTGTGTAACATCACATTCACTTCTCTTTCATGCCGCCTGTGATCCTGAGTATGAGCACCACACAGGTGGCTGATCCTGTGGTGAGGGTCTGAAAGCAATACTTAAGGTAGGGACTGTCTGCCATGGTGCTCTTATCAACAGGCTGATGACAGGCTTCAAATGAAACCCACTCTCCCTGCAGATCCTGTTCTAGGGGAGAAGTGGAGGTGCTGATGACCACCTCTCCCTCAACCTTAACTCCATTTCCTTTCCTGCGACAGGTACCGTCAGCAGCCAGACAAACCCCTTCCCCCTCACAGGCTTTCTTTCCTTCTCAACAGTGTGCTGTAATTTGCTGTCTTTCAGCTCCTGAGGACAGTGTGAGCAGGACACCTTGCTCTTTCTGTCCAAGAACTCATTACTAAGGGATTGAGTTGAACACACAAGGTCATTTTACACCAAGAGATACAGGAACTACCGGTATAAAAAAATTCTTTGTTTCTCACTACACCTCAAGAACCATTAAAGGCTCAGTTTACCCAGCTCGACAAACATATTTTCCATGCTGACAGTGTTTGCTTTATGTACTGAATCCTATGCTGCTCTGGTTATTCTGGATAATTTACAACTTTGCTATTAATGCATTTCATTGGTACCAGTAGAAACGAAGGTTGATTATATGATTTTATCAGTTTGCATCTCTATTTTCATTTGTTTTATCATTTGCTGTGTTGCTGCTGCTATGGTGGTAAGTCAGCTACCAGCATTTAGAAATGGTACATGTGTAACTGAAATTCTTTCTATGCTTACTTTCTGTACTAAAACCTAAAACCTCAAGCCTACCAACAGTAATCTCAGTCACAGCAACTTGTTTAGGAGCTTGGGACAAAATATGATCTAAGATTAAATATTTTAGTGACACTCACCAATAGCCCTCCTGAAATTTTCCATCAGTACTTCTGTTTTTTTAATCTCAGATGAGTAGACCTCGCTGCCGACCATAGGACAGAAAGGCACCTTGTTTCCCAGATCCTGTGCTACAGCTAAGGCGAGTGCAGTCTGCAGGAGAGGAGGAGTAGAAAAGGGATTTATGAGTCACAATCTGCACCAGTAACAGAAGTCACATTCAGTTAAGTTTTACATCTGTGTTGATAGTGGGTAAACACTGCACACTTACCTTTCCTGTACCAGGTGGCCCTGCCAGTAACACTGCCCTTCCTGCCATCTTTTTTGAGCGAATCAGCTCAACTATGATGCCACAAGCCTAGAGAGAGAGAGATTTAGTACCATTATTGACTGACATATAATGATAAAGTGTCAAAAGAAATTAGCTGCAATAATAGTAACTGATGATGTCTGAACATAGAAGTATAGAAGTGGGATACCCCACTGAGTTGAATTCAAAACAGCTTTCTATAACAGTTTTAATTGTGTGTTAGACTGCTGTAAAGCACACACATTTGCCGTGGTTACAGTCATGCTCTGCTGCTACAGATATAGACTGAATGACCTGGTTGACTGCGCCATTCAAGTCAATTCAACACAGGGTCAGTGCACTGGAAGCTGTGCAGTCCACTTCAGGTTTGCATTTTCACTAATCAAAATTAGGGTAACACTGGGAACTATTTTCATTGTTGATTATTCTGATTAGTTTTTCCATTCACTGATTAATTGTCAGTCTATGAAATGTCAAAGATACTAGCAAAAAAATGCACAACTTCCCAGAGCTTTTTAAATGTCTGGTTTTGTTTGACCAAAAGCCCTAAACCTAAAGATATTCTGTTTACAATAATAAATGACACAAAAGCAGCAAATCCTCTCATTGAAGAAGCTGGACCAGAGAATGTGTGTTTTTTTTCTCACTCGTTTCTTTAAAAATGGCTAAAATGATATCAATATACAGTAGTGCTGATTATTTTTCTGTCAGCCGACTAATTGTTTCAGCTCTAATTGAAATCATACATAAGCTTGACAGTGGCAGTAGCTCCTGTAGTCTTCAATCTCTGCAATGTACTTTATATAGATATAAGTCATCTATTTGTAACAGAACATATAACCCATATTCAAATAATGTGACCACAGATGCTGCAGGTGTGCGTCTACAAAGCAGATCCATGTGTCTCTGCACATTTTCTCATTGCCGTTCTGCTGCAGAAGAGGTTGGATAAGAAAATTAATAAATCAAGTGTTTAATAGATTATATTGGAAATTAAAACATGTAAAATGGATATGGTTTATGTTTTGGGTGGACTTTGCCTTTAGTTCACCTCTGACCGGAGCAAGAAACAGGGGCACCACAGCGCTAACGGAACTACGCTAGCTTGGTGGTATTGCCTATATTGAGCGAACTCTTCCTTGCAAAAAACCATCAGCTCTGTAGGTCATTCCGCCACACAGTGCAAGAATAACGTGGGTGGCGTAAAACATAAACATTAACGTTAACTTACCTCTCTCGCAGCCTCTTGGCCGACAAGACCACATGCTGTCTGTTTAGCATTGCCGGCCTCGTCTAAGCCGAGCCCTTTGACATGACTGTGAGAAGCGATCCGCTGGGTTTTCGTGGTACTTTTTACTTCCTCAATCTTCATAGTTGTGTCACTTGAGCAAATATGCGATTTAAAAACTACAAGGAAGATTTAAAATACATAAAGTGCCTCCTAAGCCCCCGTATGTTTAGCTCCGCCGTAATCGGCGCCGAAACTCAAAACACAGGGAAATCTGTTTCCATGTGGGTTACTAGGGAAAATCGGCGGAAATAATACCATGAAGTACCGCCTATTTGAACAGTATAGTAAAACTATTGGACCTTCTTGACTAACTCAACACAATTATTGGTTAAAACCTGCGTCAATCATTTTTACTACTTAAAACGCCGCCCGTGAGAGTTTTCATTTCCGTTTGTGTTTCAGTTGTTCTGTCGTAGTAGAAACTGCTAAAAAAGTGACAGTAAAGAAATAATTTTAAATAATAGTTGTAATAGAATGTGAAACCAACACGCTAGAGGTTTTCAATCACCCCATTGACATTTAAACAACACATTTTAATCAATTAGTCACTTGTAGCGAGTGAATTTTCTCTTTTTATTTTTGTTAGGTATTAATAAACGTTCCACTTTAGCATGTTGTCCAGAGGATGGAGTTCACTGACACAAGGGAAGACGTTTCTCATGATATGTTTTCATGTTGAAGTAAAGTGTTGTTAACATTGGTATTTACCTAGATATCTATGTGTATTTTGTAAGCCACAAACTAAGTAAAACAGTTTGTTGCTATAGATGTCTCTGTATTAATTAACAAATGCAAGCTAAAAAAAATATTGTGGACAGCAAGCAACACCGCCTGCTTCGGCTGAGTTCAAGGTTCAGTACGGAGTAAAGAAAACGCGCACACCTTATATCAGATTGTGTCAAAATGTCAGAGTCTACTGACAGTCGCACCAAGACGTTAAATTTCAACGTCGGGGTGCTCGGACATGTCGACAGCGGGAAGACATCGCTGGCTAGGGCGCTGAGCAGCACCGCCTCCACGGCTGCCTTCGACAAGAACCCGCAGTCTCGTGAGAGGGGCATCACGTTGGACCTCGGCTTTTCCTCCTTCGCTGTGGATCTTCCTGATCACCTACAGGGCAGCGGAGGACCGCAGCAGTATGACAGCCTGCAATTCACCCTGGTGGACTGTCCAGGACACGCCTCTCTGATTCGGACTATCATTGGGGGTGAGCTCGCTGAATCCTCTGCAGGTTTCTGGTACATGACAACAGTGGGGACCACAACCCAGAATACAGTCATAATATGTAGATCTAAATAATATGATAATTAAGGGAATGTTATCAACTATACACAGTCAGTTGCCCCTTTCTTAGGTCCACCTAACTAAAGTCGCGTCTAGTACTACGGTCATGAAGGTTTTAATTTTTTTGTGTGTGTTGAGTCAACTCTGTGATCATCTTAGAAGCTCTACTTTATGATATTATTGTACTGCATTGCATTACATTCATTTTCCATCGCTATCATTTATTTAAATGAAAGTAACCATGTATTAGCTAAAGTCTTCTCAATCTTTACAAATTAAGTTTAGCAGAAACTCCACAAAAACAAATTACAGTTAAAGCTGAACATTATGAACTATGCAATGCCCACATTTAACACGGATTTTGATACGGTTTGGTGCAAATACGTACTGTATGATAATATTCTGTTACATTAGTACCAGCCTGTGAATAACACTTCACAGTAGCTATATAATGTCCAGCAGAGGGCGCTTTCTCTCTTCAACCAACTCTGTATGTTGATCATGTCAGATTGATTTGGATGGTTGAGAGTATAGAGTAATAAGTATCATGGTGTGGGTGTCCAAAGAAGGTAATGAGGACACTCACACACTGTTACCTGCTGCCTTTTTAGTCCTTTGGTTCACATAAATGAAAAGCCACAGTCCCACTTTTTTAAACTCATGTAGTGTGACTATGACAGTAGCAATGGTCCTGGAGTTAAAACAGATCTGAGCAACTCCAATGCTGAAAGCTGCTGTCTTGTGTAACCCACAAACTAAATGAAGCCTGTTAGCCAGTGGGGTGGCACATGCTGTAGATTAGAGGAGAAGGGATGTGTGGGGATTGGGGTATGTTTTAAACTTCCCCTCCTGTCCCAGACGGGGCTGAGCACAGGAAAGAAGGAGAGCCAAATAGAAGGAGAGAAAAGAGGGGAGCACAGGAAAGTGAGACTGCCAAATTCAGGAAAAGAAAAGCAGGAAAGGAAAGACAACCAAGTGAGCTGCAGCTCTAGTTTCAGCCCTCTAGCCTTGTACTCTTTGCTTCTATGCACCCCTCCCCTAATTTCTGGGTGTACTGTTATTCTTGGGTGTCTGTTCCGGTTTGTATTACTGTTGTCGGCTTCGTAGTGTGTCCACAGTCTCTATTCAGTTTTCACATCTTTGTGTAGAATACAACAGGAAAGTGGGAATGTAATTAACATCTAATCTGAGTCATTTTCTCTTTTTCTTTGAGTTTTTCTTCTATGTCAGTGATATCTAGCATTTTCTTGATTACTGTTTGCACTTTCTGGCCTCTCTAGGTGCCCAAATCATTGATCTGATGATGTTGGTGGTGGATGTGGTGAAAGGTGTCCAGACTCAGACTGCCGAGTGTCTGCTCATAGGAGAGCTGACTTGCCCTCGTATGGTGGTCGTCCTGAACAAAATCGATTTGCTGCCATCCAACAAGAGACAGAGTGCCATTGAGAAGATGACCAAGAGACTGCACAAAACTCTAGAGACCACCAGGTCTGCATTTAATCCAAATACCATAATTAACCTGGATTATTGTAGAGGTGGTTGCTGTGAGGGCATGACATATCCTTCCTTTGGCCCAGGATTGAATCTCTCTTCCTCATTCATTCCCCAGTCTGTTTCCCTCTCTGCATTACAGCTGTCTGTCTGTCAGTCAGGCCCACTTGTCCCTCCTCAACATTTTTTTGAGATGATTAAATCACTTTTGTAGTAATTGCAGCATAACTTTTCTTTCTGTTGGCCAGATTTAAGGAATGCCCAGTGATTGCTGTGGCAGCAAAGCCTGGAGGCCCGGAAGCTCCTGACACAGAAGAGCCGCAGGGAGTCCCAGAGCTGATTGAGGTAAGGCTTAGGAACAAACTGGTGCCCCTCCATTCTTACTTATAGTGTTTTTCCATCAGCTCGGGTGCCACCATCTGAGAGACTCGGTGGGACCAGTGCCACCAGTATGAAATGTTAGACTGGAGCCCTGTTCAAAGTGATGTATTTCATGGCAGGCTATGATTCTGATGATTAAGGATGAGTAGGTATTGCAAAAATTGAAGCAAGTTTACATAAAAGGCATCAACTCTTGTCTAAAGCACAACCAGTACTGGGTTTTTGAGGCTGGAGTTGATATTTAATATATTCTAAAAAATAATGCTGATGAACTTGTTTACATAAACACCTAACACAGAATTTTGCAATTGAAAAATAAACCGGTTAGTGCTCTCTGGCAAATGTACTATGTAACACACACTTGTTCTGAACTACCTCATATACGTATTGTATCTCTGGCATTTGTACTGCATGTTCTACTTGGTTACTGGCCATCAGTTATGCTGATATTGATATATGTGCAATGAGCTATACTGGCTTGGGTGATTTATCAATGGTCTTCTCTTGTCAAATTTAGCAAGTTGAGAACAATGAAAACAGAAGCTAGTTGTACTTTACTTCACACAGCATCAACAGGAGGGACATTTATTGTTCCTGTGGTGTAAAAAATATAATGACTTACACATTATGGTCAAATCAGTGCTTACAACATGAGACAGTTTCAGGCAGTAAGTCAGACTTAACCCTAACCCTAGATATATAATACATGTTCCTCTTTTTTTGTCTGGTTTCATACTTGTGTGTGTGACCTTACAGTGTTATGGCAGCAGTTATCTCATGTGTTTCCCTTCTTGCTCTTTGGGTTGTGTGCCTCAGCTTTTGAAGAAACAGACATACCTCCCTCAGAGAGACCCTGGTGGTGATCTTCTGATGGCTGTGGACCACTGCTTCTCCATCCGTGGTCAGGGAACAGTCATGACTGGGACCGTCCTGCAGGGGTCGCTGGCCATCAATGACACTGTGGAAATCCCAGCGCTGAAGGTATGCGCCACCAAGTAGGCATGGATTCTGAATCTCTGATATTTGCAACTAAGTGACATTCCTGAGTGCTGAAAATCCACAGGGTCTCAGAAGTTCAGAAGCTGACTGGAAGTGGGCAGACAGGGAGGGATATCCGAGTGTGGCTCAGAGGATGTGTGAGTTTTATGTGAAAGAAGGACAGGGAGAGGGGAGTGTACTGGGAGCACACGGGCAGGGTAATGTAGAACAGATGCAAACTTTCAGCCAGGCTTGCCAGGTTTGTCTGACAGTTATCATGTTCACCTCTTGGTGGCAGCAGATGGCTAAGCTAACAATCACTTGTCAAAGAGTTTTGACCTGATGGACTATGGATGATCTAGCCAGTGTGTGTTGGAGCAACAAAAACAACAACAACAGAAACAATGACCCAAAAACAGCTACATTATGTAAAATGTTTTTGATTAATTCATTTAGTAACTTTAATTTAAAAAATACCTTATTTTATTTAAAAACAACAAGCAAACGTGATTTTATACCAAAAAATCTGGTTTACTTCCAGAGAAAGTAAACCAGACACAATAGTTTGCATTTCCTATGGCTTTTTAATATTAACTGATAATACAGCATCAGCAAATGTGCTCATAGATAACGTTAGCACACAAATAGCTCTGTTATCTATTAAATAAAGAAGCAGCTTTAACTTGAAGTTGTGCATGTTTAATGAGCTGCTTATTTATTACATGTGTGCATATTTGACTGAGGGGGAAAACGCTTAATTCCCCTATAGAGCAATTTAAATAATCGAGGGAAAGCCCTGTAATAGAGATAATGTATAAACATTCATGCACTGTGATATTCATGTGCTGATGTTTTTCTGTATTTAATTTCTTGCTGTATTTCATGTTCAGTTTTCAGGTTTTAGATGTAAATTAAACTTGGACCTGAGAATGCTGGATAACAAAAACACTTAAACATATGTGATGGTTAAAAGTAAGCTACGTGCCCTATTTTGTGAAAAGATAATATTGTGAGCATTGAACATTAAGCAGCAGAGTCTCATTACACTGCGTATGTAAGCAGTTTTTGCTTTCTCTTGTTTTTGTGGATTGTATAGCGATCTGTTCTATAAAGCCTGTGTTAGATTGATGTTAGAAATCAGTATTGTTTGTTAAAATGTATTGTATATGTTCTCTCTGTCATCAGGTGACCAAGAAGATAAAGTCGGTGCAGATGTTTCGGAAGCCAGTGTCAGGAGCCATGCAGGGGGATCGTGTGGGCGTGTGTGTGACACAGTTTGACCCCAAACTGTTAGAGCGGGGTTTGGTGTGCACGCCAGGCTCCCTGCACACCCTCTATGCAGCTGTCATCTCTGTCAGGAAGATAGGCTACTTTAAGGGTTCCCTTGCCACCCGTGCCAAATTCCACATCACTGTGGGACATGAAACAGTCATGGCGAGGGTGACCTTCTTTGGCCTGCCACCTGTGGGTACCTCAGAGCCCCGGTTTGACACTGAACCACTACCATTGCAGCCCTGCTCCCTGGATACACCCTTCACCTTCGACAGGGAGTACTTCTACCAGGATGAATACGTTACCAGTCAGGGAGAGGCCAGGTCTAATCCAAAGCAATGGGCCTTGTTGGAGTTTGAGCGGCCAGTCACATGTCCCTTACTCTGCCTTGTGATTGGCTCCAAGCTGGACACAGACATCCATGCTAATGCATGTCGGTTAGCCTTCCAAGGCCGTCTGTTACAGGGGTTTGAAGATAAAAGCTATGCTGAGACTGCCCTGCCTCGTCTGCGCATCTACAAAAGCAAACAAAAGGAGGGACAGGTGGAGAGGGTGAGTGGATGCTCAGAAGTTTAGCTGGGATTTAATATGGTCTTTTTCATAGCCATCCACCTTTTTCCTTACCCCTGATTGTTGTCCTTGTTTCTCTGCCCTCCCTATCACCTTGTTCTTCTTCTGCCTCTGGTTCTTTGGATGTTTCTTATTGCTGGTGGCACAGATTGCTGGCCCAGACAGAGCCCCTATTGTACATCCATTAATAGACACATGCACACAAACAAACATGCATATGC